CGACCAAAAAAAAAAAAAAAAACCACTTGAGCCACAGCACCACTTCTGGCTTTTTCTGTATACGTGGTACTGAGGAATGGAACCCAAGGCTTCATGCATGTTAGGCAAGCACTTATCACCAAGCCACATTCCTAGCCCATCATGACCCTTTCTTGAAAATTAATTTATTGTTCCACGAGCTCCCCCCCCTTTTATTTGTGCTGGTCTTGGAGCTTGAACTCAGGGCTTTACCTTTGTTTCTCAAGGCTGGTGCTCTACTACTTGAGCCACAGTTCTACTTCCAGCTTTCTGGTGGTTAATTAGAGTTAAGAGTCTCACAGACTTTCCTGCTAGAGCTGACACTGAACCATGATCCTCAGATATCAGCCTCCTCAGTAGGTAGGGATTATAGCTATGAACTACTAGTGCCTGGCTGGCACTAGTGGCCCATAGTCCTTCTACCTCAAGTAGCTGGACTACTGTTGTGCACCACTGTGCCTATGTTATTATTCAACATCTATATATACCCTGAATTTCCATACAGGTTGTAACACATGTTAAATAGTAGATGCTTTATATAATATAGTGACTTCTATAATCAAGTGCTGAGAAAAAACAGTGAACAGAACTGTCTTTACCTCATTCCTCATTTTCCCTCAGTCTTGCTTACCTTCATCATGACAGTTAGTGCATACTTTTGATCTTCCCGTCTTGCCTTAGCTTTTGCTTCTTCAGCTTCCTGTGCTGTCTGTTGAGCTTGCAAAATAGATTTTTCTCTGATTTTTTGCTTCGTCTCTTTATCAACTAGAATATAAGGAATACTGCCAGGTGACTAACTTGTTAACTTAAAGAAAATTAATATACTGAAGCAGGGTGCAGCGAGTTTTTTTTTTTTTTTTCTGATTCTGGGGTTTGAACTCACAGCCTCCCATTTGCTTGGCTGCTATTCTACCACTAAAGTCATGCATCCATCCCTACTTTTTGCTGTGTTTTTCTTTTTTTGATGGAGTCTGCCCTGGCAGGTCTTAAACCACCTCCTCCAGATCTCAGCCTCCTGAGTATTTAAGATTACAGGTATACTGGGAACTGGTGGCTCATGCCTATAATCCTAGCTACTGAGGAGGCTGAGATCTGAGAATCCTGGTACAAAGCCAGCATGGTCAGGAAAGCCTATGAAACACTTAGCACCAATTACTCCCCAGAAAACTGGAAGTGGAGCTATGGCTCCAAATGGTAGAGCACTATCCTTGAGCAACACAGCTCAGGAACAATGCCCAGGCCACGAGTTCAAGCCCCATGACCAAAAATTGAAGAAGGAAAAAAAAATTACAGGCATGAGCCACCAGCACCCTGTTCAGGATATTTTATTTTTATCTAACCTGGCAAGAGGTTAAAACTTTTTTCTTTCCAGGCCCCAGTGGCTCATGCTTGTAATCTTAGCTACTCAGGAGTCTGAGAGCTGAGGATCACAGTTCAAAGCCAGACCATGCAGAAAGTCCACGAGACTCTGAACTCTAGTTAACCACCAGAAAACTGGAAGAGGCACTGTGGCTCAAGTGGCAGAGTGCTAGCCTTGGGCTGAAGAGTTGAGGGGCAGTGCCCAGGCCCAAGTTCAAGCCCCATGACCAATGACAAAAAAAACAACACAAAACACTTTTCTTTCTCTTTTTTCAGGTAGGGCTTCAGTAGTGTTCAGGATTTCAAGTAGTTTGATTTCACAGCTGATTGGGATGAAACCGGTACCTTGCATATACTAGGTGAGCATCCATCATCTCTGCCTCCTAAAAGGTGGTATTACAGGCATGCACCACTACACCTGGGCAGATAAACATCCTTCAATGAAGAACTTACCTCCTGGCATGGAAAGCATCTCCCACATGGCCACTTCTTTTTTATACAGGGTGAAGATAACAGTGTCATTCCCAATCTTCGCTTTGCTGCTGGCATCATCAATGGGAGCGTATAGAAACACTTCAAATAAAAATGGAGGAAAATTGACCTGTAAGGGCGGGGGGAACAGAAATTAAGTTGGTTACATAAAGATATTGCCATTAAAAGAAAAATGTGATAAACTGGGCACCAAGTGGCTCAGGCTTGTAATCCTAGCTTCTAAACACACTGAAGTCTGGAGAATCCTGGTTTAAAGCTGGCCCAAGTAGAAAAGTCTTCACCAGTCTTCGTTCAAGCCCTGGTGCAGGCAAAACAACAAACAACAAAACAACACACACACACACACACACACACACACAAAGTGTATGATAAAAACTTAATTTTTCTTAAAGGTCCGTTAACTTTATACCAGGTGCTTCTACCAGGTTCCACAATGTAGTGGGGTCTAGGAGAAAGCCCTGCATGAAAGTCATCTCCTATAGGTGGACATTTGTCTACAGGAGGGTTACCACTGGCCTGGAATTCAGTTTTTCCTTAAAATGGGAATTAAGGCTGGGAGCTGGTGGCTCACGCCTGTAATCCTAGCTACTCAGGAGACTGAGATCTGAGGATCGAGGTTCAAAGCCAGCCTCGGGCAGGAAAGTCCATGGGACTCGTAGCTCTAATAAACCACTCAGGAAACTGAAAGTGGTGCTGTGGCTCAAACTTCAGCTGAAGAGCTGAGGGACAGCGCCCAGAGTTCAAGCCCCACGACCGAGCCAAAAAAAAGGGGATCGGAGGGGGGAATTAAGGACGAGGCCTCCCTAGCAAGAGAGAGGCCCTGAGTGCGAACCTCATGCTGCAAAGAAGAAAATACGAATCACAATAGTGACAACAATAACAATAAAAGCGCTGGCGGAGGGCGGGCGGCAGAGGCAGCGGGCGGCGGCCTGGCCCGGGCTCCCACCTTGAGGTAGTTCTCGGCGCAGAACACGTCGGCGTCCCTGACGCTCACGCCCCGGAGCGGCAGCGAGAGGAACACGGCCGCCTCCGTCTGCTGCCAACTGTAGTCGCCGACCTGCACCGGCATCGCGCCGGGCTGGGGGTGGCGTCGTCCGTTGCCCCCGCGCCCGCTCGGTTGCTAGGGAAGCCGGGCTCACCTCGCGCTACGACTTCCGGGTCAGCGACGCGGGCACCTGTTGCGGGGGAGGTCGTCCTCGTCCGTCAAGGGATGGCCTGGACGCCGAGGTCGCGGTGTCCGCCGTCGCTTCTCGGGGTTCGCCTTCTTCCGCTTCGCCTCGGAGGGCGCCCCACTTCTCCGAAGGAATTCGGGACCGTGGGCGCACGGAGCCGTAAAGGGAAGCCCCGGGGAGCGGGTGCGACACTGACGCGCCGTCGGGGCCCCGCGCCTGCGCGCTGCGGAGCCGGCCGGCCAGACATTTGGAGGCCGTTCACACACGTTTCAAACCTTCTCAGAAATACCTTGAAACTTTAGCAACAGCAGACATGGGGAAAATGTTGTTTTGTTTTTGCCAGTTCAGGGGCTTGGACTCAGGGCCTGGGCACTGTCCCTGAGCTTCTTTTACTCAAGGCTAGCCCTCCACCACTTAAGCCACAACGGCATTTCCAGCTTTTTCTGTTTATGTGGTACTGAGGATTCGAACCCAGGGCTTCATGCATGCTAGGCAAGCACTCTACTACTGAGCCACATTTCCAGCCTGGGGAAAATGTCTTTTCCCCCAAACAATGTACCCCTGACTTTTCTTAACCAGCAGTTAATGATCTCAAACATCTGCCGACCAAGCCATGAAATCTAAGAATCTTAGTCTTTTTTTTTTCTTGGTGCGTTTGGTGACTGCTATCTTTTTGTTCTATTTCTGCCTTTACTATTCTGTGTCAAGCTTCCAAGTCTTCAAAAAAGTTCATACTTTCGGGGCTGAGAAGGTGGCTCTGTGGTAGAACACTTGCCTTGCATGCCTGAGGCCCTGGGTTCGATTCCTCAGTACCATATAAGCAAAAAAAAAGTTCATGCTTTTAGTCGTTAGTGTTGTTTTTTGTTTGTTTGCTTTTTGGTGATGGGGCTTGAACACTGTCCCTCAGCTCTTCAGCTCAAGACTAGTGCTCTACCACTTAAGCCACAGCGCCACTTCCAGTTTTCTGGTGGTTAACTGGAGACCAGTCTCATGGGCTTTCCTGCCCATGGTGGCTTTGAACCGTGATCCTCAGATCTCAGCTTCCCAAGTAGCTAAGATTCCAGCCGTGAGCCACCAGCGACTGGCCTTCCCTCTTTTTTTCATACCTGGTATTTCTGTCTCCTGTACTAAAAAAAAGAAAGAAAGAAAGAAAGAAAATCAACCTTACTTGACACTCGTCATTCAGGATGATCCAGCTGCTAAGGCTGTAGATTCTCCAATTTTCTGTGAACAGAAGTCCTAGTGTGTTAAAATAAAAATAAACACACATTATTCTCACCATTTCTTAGGGAAGCCCAGGAGTTAAATATTTGTTCGGGGTTTTTTTTCCCCACAAAAAATGTATGTATGTAGCAATGCATGAACAGAAATACTGACTCTCCTTGAATAAAATTGAATCTTTGGTAAATTGTAAACTATTGTCATCAACATTTTGTTGATGATGCTCACACTTAATGAAAGTCAAAACACTTAACAGGTCTTTTTCTCTTTAAAAACTAGCTTTATTGAAAAGAATTTGAATCATAATAACACTATATGAAACACACGATACATATTATTCAAGAAAGTCTGCCATACATCATTTCTACTATTAGATCTACATGTGACATTCCAAACACAATGCACAAATGACATTAGCCTTATCCCTGAAAAGAATAGTCAACAATACCATAGACTGTCTTCACAGCAGAACCTCTACTTGTCTTATTACTTTAGAGTAAAAAACTAACGTGGAAGACACATTCCAATTGTCAGATCTAGCCTAGTGTTTAGGGAGAAGGGAGTAGAATCAGAGAAGGCTGTCAGAGTTCATCTCAAAAAAGGATAAGTAGCTTACTGTTATTATAGTAATCATCATTTCAGAATTGAGAACACAAGTAATACTTGGTAGCCTTGAAACAAACTCCATGATTTAGCATATTTCATGTTTTACTATAGTCTATCAGCTACCAAGCCAAGTCTATTCTTTTGAAAGTTACAACCTGTATACAAACCTTATAAAGATAATAAGCAAGTTGGAGGTGATCTACTAATTGCATACTTTAATTTCACAAAACTTCATGAATTCATTTCATACTAATACTTCTTTAAACCTCTATGATTTAAATAGAAATATACCCAGTTTTAAAAGACTATGTGTCAAAATAGCAGACAAAAATAAACCCTGAACATGTAATACTAAATTTTAACACAAAAATAGACCTATGAAAATATGGGCATTCAAGTCAAGTATGGGGGGAGAGGGTTATGACACAGATGGTATCTGCCATTTTTAAAAACATTAAGACTGAATCAAATTTATTGCTATATCATCCAAACAACAATCAACAATTAAAAGTACAATATATACCACAACCACCATGCCAAATACAATGCAACATAGAAATATTATTAACATAGGAAGACATTTATTTTCTAATGGATTCACTAATATAGTAAAACCTTACTAATAATTCCGAACAGTTTGAATAGTTGAGTCTAAAAATTGGAGTATTTTAAAAAGATATGCAATTTAAGCATTCACATTGTGTTTTTTTAGAAGGGTGAAAGCTCCAGGCTAATTTCAAATACATAAATTGGCATCAGTCAAATATTACTAAAATTCTTTTTGGGTACGTGTTTTAAATGACAAAATAAGAATGTTTTCTTTAAAAACTAGTGTTCTTAAATAAATGTTTTTAAAATAAAAATTTTAAATTTTTCCTTCATAACTAAGCTTTTAAAAACCTTGACTTTTATTATCAAATCCTTTCATTAGATAATCTAAAATAAAGAGTATTCAAGTATCAATGGTCAATGGTTACACACTCTTAACTAAATCACTTTTATGGTGTCTTAATTTCTTAATAAGGAAAGACTAGTGTTACTCTTCCGTGGTGGAATGATAGTTTGTGGTTGGAGTCATCATCTTAAAGTTCTACTTTATACAGCCAGGCACTGGTGGCTTGTGCCTATAATCTTAGTTACTCAGGTTCGAAGCAAACTCAGGCAGGACAGTCCACGAGACTCTTATCTCCAATTAACCACCAGAAAATCAGAAGTGGCACTGTGTCTCAAGGTGGTAGAGCACTAGCCTTGAGCTTAAGAGCTCAGGGAGAGCACCCAGGCCCTGAGTTCAAGACCTATCACTGAAAAGAAAAATTCTACTATATAATCTTAGTAATATTTAGTACTATGGGCTAAAACATCCTCATAAGCACTGTCAGGATAATTCCTTAGTAAATTACAGGTATAGGTAAATTTTCTTTTTTATTTTTGAGACAGGGTCTCACTACCTATCCCAAGCTGGCCTTTAAGTCAAAGTCCTCTTACCTCAGTTTCCAGTGGGCTTAGATTATATAGGTGTACCACCATGCCCAGCAGATCAAATTTTTAAAAAGTATTTGTTATTGAATTGCTAACATGACATTTTATTTCTCTCTCCTATTTTAAAGACATCAGACCACCCACTAATCCACAGATACTGATGTTTCACATACTTCATAGAGTAGCTTAAAACATATCAGCATAAGAAATAATTAGTATTACATAGTAATTTCCTTTACCATAGGAATAAGTGTTGGACAAAGTCTGGAAACGTTCTATTTTCCAATTTGAATTACAGTAATTTTGCCACAGACCACAGCACTAGTGCATGTATTATTCCTTTAGACATGCTCTAAAAAAACAAAACAAAACTTTACTGCAAAAATACATGTCACCAATGTGGAACACACTCAAATTTGTATAAAAGTACTGAACTAATATCCCAAAAAGAGGTATATGTAAACAGTACGTAAGGAAGAAATAGTTTTAATATGAAACAATCGTTTAAGTCACATACATCATGATAAGAAGCAGGACTTTCTTTTATAAAAGATAACATTTGAACTACCAAGCAATATCATCTACACATCTGCAGAACAGCAAAGGTACAAGTATTTAAAGTCGGCATTAATTGTGATGTTGTATTGATAAACTATGACCAAGATGAAGCTTATACTGTGGGTTTCATTTGAAGCTTTTTCATTAGACACAGGCAGTGCCCAATGGGTTACTGCTTAGCATACACAAGGCCACTTTCTCTTAACCATTAGTCTCGCAGATGCAAATGCTATCTGTAGCCTTCCCACTCCAACAACTCAAATCCCCATCACAGTACCACCAAGACTTGACAATGCACAGTGACTTTATGATGTTCACTGAGGAGGTAGAACAGAAAGGGATGCTTACTGAAATTTGAAAATGAGAAGAAATCTCTTGAGTGCAGAATTAAGGGCAAGAAGCTGTGAAAAGTCAAAATAAGCTAAAGGAAGTAAGAAGTGCTCTTCAGGCAGTATCAGCTGGTTCTAAAAATACTGCTTCCCATGGTGCCCAAAATACAGCCATATTGTCTGAAGTGTTGCAAAAAAAAAGATTCCTTCTGAAGACCCTTACCAAACCAAACCAAAAAAAAAAAAGTCATATTCTCCACGATATTCATTTGTATGTTAGCAGAGAATGATTTTATCTATTTTTCTTTTTTGTAAAGGAGATGAACAGGGGGGTTACAGTTACATTAAGTAATGAATACATTCCTTTTCCTTTTTTTTTTTGCCAGTCCTGGGGCTTGAACTGTGTCTGGGCACTGTCTCTGAGCTTCTTTTGCTCAAGGCTAGCACTCTATCACTTGAGCCACAGTGCTAGTTCTGGCTTTTTCTATTTATATGGTACCGAGTTATTGAACCTCGCGAGGGCTTCATGCATGCTAGACAAGCACTCTACCACTAAGCCACATTCCCAGCCCATGAGTACATTTCTTTTTGAACACTTAGCCCCTCCCTCATTTTCTCTCACTTTCTTCACCCCCTCCTCTCATCCCCATTATTTTCTTTTAAAGTCTGGCCAACGAGTATTACCCAAAGAAATCTATCTGCTG